TAACAACAATGGGTTTATGGACATATTGAATGAATCGCGTTAGCGATTCATGTAAAATATGTCCAAAAACCCATTGTTGTTATGACCTCATAAATGTTGAAAAAATAAATATCATTCCTTATATTTACATTGACGAATCCTTTCAGTGGATCGATATAACAACGAATAAAACAAATAAACAGGGTTTGTTCCTGCTTATACACGGGTGCAACGCAGTGGCGAGAACAGTGTTTTTTCGCGGGGAAATGTGACACTATCGTGAGAGATCTTAGCAACCGTCAACAACAATAACACAACAAAATGTAGTTCCATATTCAATGTTTATTTGTAGCACAGGACACGTGAATACGTGGATATTTCACAAAGCACAGTTCAATAATATTTTAAGATGTAAGAATTAAGCATCTAGGTCAGTCGTTACGAGTGAGTAGTTTTTGTAGTGTATTACTACGCAGTGTGATCAGGTTACTATCAGTTCCCACGTGCTGAGATTCTATGAACACCTGTGTTATGCATTTATGAATGCAATTTTTGTCAATGGGTCTAAGCATACAGAATGTAAATATTCTATTATAATGAAATCAGAAGTGACAATATATGTTTGATTTAATACTAAAAAAAACACCAATACGTTTGTGTTTCAATGATAAATATTTTGAACAATGGTCGTCTTAAATTGATGTATCTGAATTAAATGGTATATTTTTCATATAGATGAACAACGTGTTATTGCAGATTAATGCTTGACTATATTATCTTGTAAATATATATTATTACACTTATCAAGTTGGAACATGTGGAACATCCAATACCTTCAATTTTCAGACCCATTTCATGCAAATATGTAAACAGTTTTCCGAATGGGAGAGCTTGACGCTTTGGTTCAATGTCAGCCGACGTCATACCAAACATACGGCTGATTTCCTGATTAATAGCTTCCTTCTTGTCGTTCTGTCCAACTTTAGCTTTTACTAACTTCCAAACTTGTTCTGTAATATAAGATCACAATAATGAAACATAAACAATAATAGCATTATTATAAATAGTATTTATAATCATTTGCATACATTTGTAAACATGTACAAGTGTAAAACTATTATAGCGTAAGTCAAAACTTGTGTTTGGTAGAAGTAGTAAATGATAAATTTGACAAATAGTTAATACATAATTCAGTAATTAATAAATAGAAATAATAGTTATACGTACTGACAATTTCTTCAAGCACATGATAAGCAGTCATGACGTAGTTTTTCCCAAAACGAAATCCTGTTCCAGACTCAGCAAGTTGGCCATACATTTTGATTTTGATGACTCCAACAGACTTGTTAAGTTTAGATTTACCCATCGCCTCAAGCATAGAAAACGATAACGTGGTGTTGTCCGTCTTATGGAAATTTCCTGCGCCGCCTGGAAAAAGTTTAAATATAAATTACGAGGTTACTTAATGTCATAATGTCATTTAAATTATCTAGTCATATTGAAATTTGACTTGTGTATTATAAAGGTTTGTTCGAGGGCGACATTAAAGAGACATCGTGACCATGATGATTTCGTGTTTGACTTTATATATGTTTGACTTAACATAAAGTTAAATTATTAAATTCTTGGATAATACACTAACCTGATGTGGCAGCATCTAGCTCTGGCTGCACCGTAGTTCTTTTCCTACATTTCCTACAATCGCAATATTAAAATCAAAACTGACAATACAAAAATTATATAATCATGTACTATGTAGGAGTTGAGTATAAATAATATTTATCTTAAAATTAGATTAAGAACTAAAGGCCACGCATAAGCGATTTACTTAATCACAAAATAAGTCTATGTTTAAGCATGTAATCGATAGGAAATACTATATAAAAATAAACAAACAAACTAAATGTTATGTAATGATCATATTTTATATTGATATTTATTTAGAATATTTACATTGAGTAAAAGCGAAAATTGTACATTAAATCATAATGATAAAAATGACTGTCATTAAATATTGACAAATTTATATATAGAGTATTGTCGTCGTTGTTTATCAATTATTATCAAAGCAATAAAACAGAACAAAACTTTTGACACGGAAATGTAAATGTATACTAGATAACAAACTAAAATAACGAACGCCGAGTGACGATGCTATTAAAATTTGGCAAAACAAAGTATAAGGTACTGAGTGACTATTTAGAACTATATATACTATATTTACTATACTATATATACTAGATACAATATATGGGCAAGAATCTGGAAAATATAAAATAAGAATAAAATTCCAATATAAATTTTTCCTTTTACAAATAACATATTTAAATTTTTAGATTGCAAACAATGGTTAAAATAAATAAATACAAACTTTACCTGACTGGCAGTTCTGAATGTCTTTCTCAGCTTTGATGATCATATCAAGCATTTGTTTTGCACTGTTGGGTGCAGTTTTCACTAAAAGTTTCAGTGTTTCTAACTTTTTACAGCTGATAACTCCTTTTCCTTCCAAATTCCGACATACCTTGAGAAAGGAAAGGTTTTCATATTCACCAGGGCCACTTAGATAAGACGCTGCCATTAGTCTGAAATGTTCCAGATTCTTGCCCATGTTTTCTTCGTCAAAGTATGCTGTATTCATTCCTGTCTTGAGTTGATTGTATATTGTTGCCATTGCTACATCCATTTCTCAAATCTGAAAATGATAAAAGAAAGTAAGGTGTGTGTGTTATGATAGCGTCAGGAGGACTGTATAGATAAAGGAAGATGGAATGTAACCTGTTTTACGAATGACGTCCAAAACAAAGATGACGACCATAGAGTATGGACGTGTGTTTGTGAGCTCCGGTGTTTAGATCTAGAGATATCATTACAGAACAACCACCACTACAAAACTTTGACACGCATCATCCTCAGGAGGCAATGAGTGCGGTGAGTTGAAAAAGAGAGACTCTAAACGCAAATATTCGACTAATGTTTGTAAATGCATTGACCCTATACGTTATCGCATACGCCATAATGAACACTTGTCACCTGTGTTCAGTTTCGTCACGCATGAGTATCTGAATATACCACTTACTACAGGTACAGAAATACACGCACGTGTTATCGGAGAGTGCCATCGGGACTTACTCGCTATACAAAAAACTTCAAATGGAGAAGACTCCAAAAAGAGTTTTATCAACTCAAGTTTTGACGTTAGCCCAATCAAGATAAAAAAAAGAGACAAACATAAAGGTAAAAAAGCGAGATTTGATAAAACCCAGCCTACTATAGAAGAAATCACTGGGAAAATGGATAAAACTAAAGACAACTCTGAGGTAAATGCACGATTAGAGAGAATTGAGCTACTGCTCAGTAAAGTTGTCACCAAAGATGAAAGTTCGAATGAAAAAATTGGTCACTACAGAGCAACTACAGGCAACAGTTGAAAAACTTTCCCAGAATTTCGAAAAAACTATTAGTATATTAAAGATAGAACACGAAGACAACTTAGAACGAATAAAAGGTGAGGTGCACGACCTAGCAATAGATAAACCAAAAACTAAAATAAAATGTTGAAAAAATCACTGCTAACAGCGAAGAAAACCAACGACAAGTTTATTTCTCAGCCAGGAATGCCATGCAAATAATTCCATCTTAAATGACCTGGAACAACATGGTAGGGCAAATAGTATCCGGATAGTGGGACTGGAGGACAGCAACCCCAATGAATCCGTAGAAGACACTGTCACCTTAGTCGTCAAGTTATGTAACGCTAAACTCGGAATGAAACTTGACCCAAACGAAATCGACACTGCCCATAGACTTGGTGTTCACAGAGCCGGCAAGGCCCGGGCCGTTATTTGCAAGTACGTCCGCAGACGCTCAAAGTTCAATGTGATAAAAAAACAGACCCAAACTAAAGCGATCATGGAAGATATCACACGTAAAAATCAAGAACTGCTGTCGAGAGCCTACCAATGTCGCGATCGCAAGCTACAAGGAGCATGGGTGATGAACGGAAAAATAAAAGTAAAAACATTGAACGATGAAGTTCGGCATATTCGGAGTCACGAAGACTTAGATGCCATACTCTCATCTCAAGCAAATCGCAAATAACTCTGTGGTTTATTTTTGTGTGTACCTTGATTTGAACTGTTTTATTTGTAAATAGTAAGTAGAAATAAATAATATACCGACAACAATGCAATATTTAAAAACTTACTATACAGTCATCAAAGTAATGACAACAAGAAAAAATATACATTGCACGAGTGTCCCAAAATCAACTATGAAACCAGGCGGCAATATAGCTGTAGGATTATAGGTGACCAATGTATGACTTGATCNCCCCCCCCCGATCTACTATCTGATTAAGGTATGACCAAATATCATATGCCGTTGATGCCGATGTTACATATTGATTTATGTCTATAGAGGAAGTACTATTGCAGAACAATATATTTGTGATTCAAATATGTGTGCGGAAAAGTGTATATGACTATAATATGTATATCATTTTACATAAAATTATGTGTAACATATTCATTATTGTATCACTATAATTTGGCTATTTTTATTTTTTGTATTCTACTTGTATTAATCATTTAATGGCGACAATCATTTATACTATGTCAGTCAATATTGAACTTGTAAATGTAAGGAAGTTTCTGATATATGTACAGTTGTATGTGGAATATATTGAATATTTTAGATTCAAGTTTATAGACATGGCATTTTAATTATATATTTATAATACATGGTCTATTCATATCCGTAAAAAGCGACCCCTAGTATCTACACAACTGAAAGGTTAAATAATTCCGGTTTTCCCACATTGATACGTATGAGATAAGATAAAAGGAATGTTCTTTTTATTATCTGAAGTAATTACAAAATTATCAGTTTGTAATACGGCCTTTATAGCATATTGGATCATGCAAATGGATAATCCGGATGATAAAGACCATGTACTAACGTTATAATGCATCAACATACGGATTTTTTTTCTTCCGTATTCTCTTTTCTTCACTGAGAAAATGTGTTTTCCATTTGTTTTTCAAATCCATTATAATTAGGTTGAATTAAATACATCCTTATGTATACAGAATAGAATTTATTTCGTTCAAGACCATAATCCGGATATGTTTTTACGATATGCTCTAAAATCCGGATAATTTTTACCTTATTCTGACTCATCGTTTACTATGTGAATATTCACTTCCGTAGTATTCACATGTTTTAAAATGTAAATATCAACCTTGGAACGAACTCAAATAGTAGGTATGATGATAAAAGTTTTATTTAAGACCTGCCTGCTCCATACATTTAGTGTCTTTACAATATACTCATACTAAATTATAATTGATCGATCGACATAATCTAATCTAAGGGACATAATCAACCACAATATCATATATATAACACAGGCTAGCTGTACCTGGGTATTGGTATTTTCAGAAGTACGTTAAGATTCCTTTTCAGAATATAAATGTACATAGTACTTTTTGTATTTAATTGTTATATGTATTCAGTGTTTTATGTTTGTGTGGTATCGCTTAACTTAAATGGGGAATGCTTGCAAAGGGAGGAGATCAAATGGAAAAACATATATGTCACTGACTTTATGATATATGATACTGTCTATAATTATTTTAAAACTATTACAAATGTGTGCCTCATCGATAAGACTTACAACTGGTTTAGATTATGTCTGATTGTATACAAATCATGTCTGCAAACTGTCAGGGCTTGGGGTCAAAGGAAAAAAAGACTTGATGTACTGAATTATTTACAAACAATTTTTAGGGATTTTAATATTTTTTGTCTCCAAGACACTCATTTTACACCTCAAATAGAGAATCATATTGAGTCACAGTGGGGTTTTAAATGTATTTTTAATTCTTATCAGTCAAATTGTAGAGGCGTGAGTATTATGTTTAATAATAATTTTGAAGTTTATATACACGCAGTTAAAAAAGATAGAGGTGGCAATTTTATAACTGTTGATATTACAATTGAGAAAAGAAGATTAACGCTTGTAACTTTATACGGCTCTAACACTGATGACCCAATGTTTTATGAATACTTAAAAAGAACTCTAGATGAACTTGAAAATACAGAAATCATTATATGTGGAGATTACAATATTGTACTTAACCCAGAAAAAGATACCTATCATTATAGAAATGTAAACAATCCTAAGGCTAGGCAAAAAATACTTGATATAGTTGAAGAATATAATTTATCTGACTGTTTTAGGATACTACATCCAGACTTCCTTAGGTACTCATGGAGGGAAAAAAACCAATTCAGCAAGCTAGGCTAGATTTCTTCCTTACAACTGATAATCTTTTAAATATAGTAGATAAAGCAGATATTAAACCAGGATATAGAACAGACCATTCGATCATTACATTAGAAATAAAGACTAACAATTTTGAACA